AGTGGAGGAGGCTTTGATGATGATGATGAGCAGGAAGAGGAGGGGGGGGGGGAAAGGGCAAAGTGAAGAAAGTGAAGAAGAGGCGTTAGCGGAGTGGTTGGGTGGGGGGGGGGGGTGGAAGGTCAAGTTATTTTTCACATTTTAGTATCAGACTGTACTAGTACTCGAGTATCATAGGTAGGACTGTTTGTACAGTACTGTTCGGGCCAGGGACTGGACTGGACTGGATTAATTTATCGGGGAAGCGAACCACTCTGCGCGAGTACCGTACGAGTACCGTACTGTACTGGTAAGAAATCGACAACTTATTCCCATAATATTATTATGCACTCGCTTGTCGTGGACTCCGCGTCTTGGAACGTCGTCCCGTGCCGTAGCGTAGCGTACCGGCTTCCCGTAATTAGTATCATTCGTTCGTTCATCCATCCATCCATTCATTCATTCATACATACATACATACATACATACCGTACATTGCCGTTTTACGATAGTGACACGCCTTCCGATGCGAAACCACCGGGCACAACCCACACAACCCGCCGCAGCTTCGTGGAAAGAAACGGCGCGGAAGAAAGGGTCAATGGTATGATACTTGTATAATAATGTGAATGCGAATGTGCCTGCGGTATACGGTAGTAATACCCCACCGTTAGTCATAGTCTTCTTCTTCTTTCGTCTGATGTTTTCCTCTATTGCCTGGTTTGTCGACGCTTTTCCTTGACTGGTATTTCAACACGAATCGCAAGTACTAGTGAGGGACGGACGGACGGTCCTTCCCAGCGTCTTGATCATTACACTACAATATGTCAAGTTACATCTCGGAGGAGGAGGGGATTGCGTCCCCCGGCAATGCCGGACTTTTTTAATATTCGTATAGTACTTGTAAGAGGTAGTCTAGATGGGTTGTTTTGGCCGAGATTGTGGGGATGGGGGGGGGGGGGTGTGGACCGGACTGGACCGGACTGATACTAGTATTACCGTATCCGATAGTAATGATAGTGGTAGTGGTACAGTAATAACTTGTGAGACACGGAAAGCCCGAAGTTGACTCCGAGTTTATCAGCACCGTTAATCCGATATGATATGATAGGAGGAAGAAGAGGAATCGGGAAATGATATATATGAATTGGAGAAACACGGTGGCTTGACCGGGTATCATACTATCCGAACGATTGCTTCGAGATGGTTGTTGCACATACCAGTGCTGCCGGGTTGGGGTGGGCTACGAGTACTTGTACATCTTCCAACAGGCTGCAGGGACCTCATGAGTGCTCAAGTATGATAAAGCATACGGTAGTGCTAGTGTTGTACACAATACGGTTGTGTGAAGTCCCGACTACCGGTACAATAAAGCTTGGGGGGGAGTAAATGAATGGACTAGGGATAATCGCCCATGGTTCATTATCCGCATACGCGTATGATACAGCACGTTATGACAAGTGCAAGCAAGAGCACGGTTCACTCACGGCAACCAGGTACCGGTAGACGGAGAAAGCGTCAATCTGAATCTGAATCAAGAGTGATGTTTGATGTCCAGGGTCTCGGATGGGAACGGGGAGGGCAATCGTCACGATTGGTGGGCAGGGGGCAACAAACCGACCAACCATCCCTTAACCTGTATTCTGACACTGGCACTAGGGTAGGGGTTGATGGTGCGGATCGCACACTTAGCTAAATAAGGTAGAATAGGCAGCGATCAGAATAATAATGATGTAACCCATAGGTATTCGGCTGAATAGGGGAAAATAGTGTAGATAGTAGGGACTTTGCAGTTTCAGCACTGCATTTGCCTCAGACTGAACGTCTTCTTTTTTTTTTTTAAAAGTCTCTATCTGTTTTACAGTCGATCCTGGATAGCCGATTCGC